GCTTACTAGAAGACACTTCGAGAACCCTCACTGTAGGCCGAGCCAGTGGCAGGCAGGCCAAACGGAGTGTTAGTTTGGTGTGCAGAGCAGGGCTGATTAGATTCATTTCTTCCTACGGAAGACCAGAACAGACTGGGAGCAGGTTCATGGTGATCTTTGGAGCAGAACCTGTGTTTGTTTCCTTTGTCATTGTTGCATTGTTCAGATACCCTTCCCAGTCATCTGTGCATGATCTCTCTGTCTACCTTCATTTCAAGTGTGTACTTTGGGAAAGGCCTTGCTGTCGATCCTAAGCACTCTTGTGCATTGCAGGTCATTCATTCAACAAATATTTGTTGAGTTTTTGTAGTATGCAGGGAGTTCTGCTGGGCACTGAGGATAAAGTAGGGAACAAAGTAGGTAGCTCTTTTGTTCTTGTGGACTGTACATTTAAACAGTTAATTAAATAAAATACTATTTATTTATAACTGTGATTAAAAGTTCTTACGGTACAGGATGTTATGAGCATATAATGGGGTAACAGTCTTTACTCAGGGAGGCTTTTTAAAATGAAGTCATGTTTGGGTGTTCTGTGCTAAAGGATGAGTGCAGTAATAGAAGTGCTTCGTTTGGTTAAATTGTACTTAGGTGGGGATCTTGTCATCTTGTCTGTGACTCAGAAAGAAAAGTAAGAAAATGGAAGAATCATCCCTGAACAGTGATCTCAGTTGAGGGAAGGAGCGCTGAGGGTTTGGAGATAAGTACTGATTATCTTCTTTCTGAGACATTGTGGAATTCAGTGGAAGTTCCATGACAATGAGAAGCTTATACCACGAGCCAGTACTTCTCAAGTTTTAAAGTACACACAAATGGTCTAGGGGTCTGGTGAAAATGGAGGTTTAGATGAAATAGGTCTGGGATGGGTCCTGAAATAGCTGTTGCTGTTCTGAAAAGCTCACAGTGACGCTGATGATACTGGTCCGTGGACCACACTTGGAGTAGCAGGACGATGATTACACATAATCAGATTTCAGTAGGAATATCGGCTGGACAAGAGGCTGGATGAATATTCTAGAAATGGGGTGGAGTCGGGAGAGGTATTTGATAACAGAGAAGATAGCAGTTTGGTGTGAGAAGTATCACGTTACATACTGAAAGCCAAAAGCACTTCACAGTTGCTCTTACAGAGAAGACAGGAAAGCTGGGGATGGAGATAGATGGCCACCAGCACAGCCAGTGAAATCTTCTACAGAGTCATTTCTGTGGTGAGGACCAAGTGAACTAAATGGCCATTAGTCTGCCTAGGGAAAAGGTCAAGTACTGAGGATTGATGGCCACACCATGGTAATTATGTGGGCTCCAGAAAATGATCTAAATGACAGCAGCTAGTGGTACTAGAGAGAAGGTGCACTTTACTCGGAGAAAGAAAAATGTTCAGTACCTCTTCTCATTAATCGTAGATGATCAATCCATAGCTGAAGAATATTGCCAAATAGATTCAGGTTAAAAGTGGTTGTAAATGGCAAGGGTAGGAATAGAATGAGGGAGGGGAAAGAATCTTATAGTTAATAGCCACTTTGAAGGAATCACCACCATTAAGACTAATCATTGCATGTGTCTCTTCTTAATTTCATGGGCATCCAAAACAGAACCTTGTAAGACCATCAAGAGACCTTATTGGTCTGCCCTTGTTTCATTATATTATTATGGAAAATATCTTTTCATTGTAGTTATGCTTTAAGTTTTTGTTCAAGATATTTTATAGTTATTCATAAATGCATTTGGGTCAAAGAAAGTAACATCAAGTTATGAACCATGTTGTGAATGGTATGTCTAAAAATACTTTATATTTAATCACATTCTCTTCATGGTTTAAAAGAAGTATTTTAGAATGCTATAATGGCTTAAAACCTAACTTTCTCTTTCCGCTAGAATGTCATCTTTTTGGATTTGGTTAAATCTTATGACCGTCAGAACATGGAAGGAAAGGAATTAGGTTTCTACACTGTTAAGCAGTCATTTTAGATTACTTGTCTTTTAACTTTTTTTGCATGTACCTATAAAAGGATAATAAGCATAATTACTGATGCAGGGGACTAAGTGAATACAGAATTAGGCAACTGTCTTTTTTTTTTTTTTTTTAAGATTTTATTTATTTGACAGAGATCACAAGTAGGCAGAGAGGCAGGCAGAGAGAGAGAGGAGGAAGCAGGCTCCCTGCTAAGCAGGGAGCCCAATGCAGGGCTCCATCCCAGGACCCCGGGATCATGACCTGAGCCGGAGACAGAAATTTAACCCACTGACCCACCCAGGAGCCCCCAGGCAACTGTCTTAAACTTTCTAAAACTTGAAGGCAGAAATGAAATCAGTAGAATTCAGTACTAGTCCTAAAGTAAAATCAACTTTTTTTAAACGTGAGTAAAGGATTATTTGTTTTATATATATTTAAAAGTGTGGTGAAACACATAATGTAAAATTCAACGTCTTAACCACTTTTAAGTGTACAGCTCAGTAATAATATGTATATTCACATGAATGTGCAGCTAAGCTCTAGAACTCTTTTTGGAAAATTGTAAAATCTAATTGGTTCATTAGATTGCCTCTTCATTTTTAGAGGCAGGCCCACCTAAAAGGGGAGTCTGAGGAAAGTTGAGGCTATGGCATATGGCTGTGAAAGGTCAAGTTTCCTTAAATATCTGTGCTTCTAAACTGTGACTCAGTAAGATCTGGGTGTCAAGGAACATGAAAGTATGAAAGCAGTTTTGGGTTTTTTTTGTTTTGTTTTTGTTTTTGTTTTTTAAAGAAATGAAATACAGAAAAAGGAACTCTCTTGAAGTCACATACTTGAAAAAGAATAGTCATTGTTACATAGATGATCATTTCTGTATTGCCTTCAGTTTAAATGACTGGGTTACTAAAAAGTATTCAATAGGCTGTCATTCTTTGGATAATGCTCTCTAAACAGTGCAATAGAATGTTGCCTGCTAGCCTGGGATCCTGCCGTGCCTTGGGAGCACTGGGAACAGTTGGTAGGACTCTCCTTTGTCCACCTGGGGAGTGGGGATGACCACACAAGATGATGTCCTCAGCGCATCTCAGTTACCTCCTCAGGGGCAGCCCCGTGGGGAAAAAGTGTTCAGTTGGAGCTGTAAAAACATTTCCACGTGTGCCATTTCTTAAATGCCTCAGAAACAGGGATTAGAGGCTATTATCATTTCTTTAAAATCTAGAAACAGTTCTAGAGACAAGGACAAACCTCTCAGTTTGAAAGCTAAGCAGCTTGGAAATCTAGTTTGAAATTAGATTTGTGTTCCTGAATGCCTATGTGACTCAGTTCTTCCTTTTGGTAAGATACACCTTGCTCTCCACTGGATCAGTGATGGATTCTTAATGGGGGAGAATGAGGGCTCCGTCTTCGTCTGACTAATGAGTCTAGTGAGGTGGGACTTGGAATGCAAGCCTGTTTTCTTCTGGTTTGCCTTGGGTGCCTTGACTGTATAGCAAACCTCTTAATCGAAACTTATTGTCAAACCCTAAGAAGTTCTATCAAGAGTTAATATTAGAGGGGCGCCTGGGTGGCTCAGTGGGTTGGGCCTCTGCCTTTGGCTCAGGTCGTGGTCTCAAGAGTCATGGGATCGGCGGGCTCTGTGCTCAGCGGGGAGGCTGCTTCCCCCTCTCTCTCTGCCTGCCTCTCTGCCTACTTGTGATCTTTTTCTCTGTCGAATAAGTGAGTGGAATCTTAAAAAAAAAAAAAAAAAAGAGTTAGTATTGGAAACTGCCCCTAATTGCAAATAATGTCTCATTATGCTACTGTATCATTGAGGGTCATACTGGTCTGTTCTTGACATCTTTTTACCCTGTGGCTTTAGAGGGCAAAGAAAGAATCCTCAGTGCTGGGTCTTGCTTTTGTTGTCTGCCGCCCACCAAGTTTATCAATTTTTTTTGGTAGCTTATTTTAATATACTTAATCATGATTTATTAAGCCTTGATTTTGTTGTCGGTGGTGTATATTCAAACAGCTAATATAATCACATCAGTATTGGAATGTTTGTATTACAAAGCAGCATACAAGGCTCTGGCCCAAATCAAAGTGAATTTTAGGTATTTCCAATCTATATCTAAGAAAACCTTTTTTTATTTTTTAATGCCTAAACTTAATCTGCTTCAGAATTGACTGGGTTAAGGACATAGAATTAGGGGCTTATTAGTAAGGGGCTTATTAATCTGAAGGCTTCTATTTATCTATTGTATAACTCATGAACTAGAAATATGGACTTTGAGATTTTAATCCATGTCCTTACCTTGTTTTGAGCTACCTGCTTGGCGTATCAAAGTCTGCTTCTACTTAACGTAAATCCAGAGGGAGCTGGAAGCACACATTTACATCTTAGCTAGAGCAAGGCTGGGGTACTTAGGATTGTTTCCTTTAATGTACATTTTGTGTTTTCACAACCCATGGTAGTAATTGGCAACTGCTCCCTAAGTTAGTTTCTATTTGCGGAAGTCATTTGGTTTTTGTTTGGTTAATGCAGGTGAATACTACATGGAAAGGCAAGAGGAGAAAAGAGGAAAAAAAACCAGAATCCTTCAAGCATGTAGGGATGTGCATCAAGAATTTCAAAGACTCTTCACACAGATGTAGGGGGGAGGGAAACAGCAAATTCGAAGCTTTTCAACCATGACATTTTCTTCTAATGAAGAAGAGCTAGAAAGCTGTAATTTTGAGAGTGTTGCAGTATTTTAAATCAGACATTTAGTACATTTTAAAATAGTGGTGAAATGTAAAATTTCTTTCCATCTTAAATAGAATTAAGCATTTGTGGTCATCATCTTACTTTGATAGTTGTGGGCCTCAGAGTGAAAGCCAGAGCTTCTAAAATTTAGGTGGCTTACGGAAACATCTCTACCTGTTTTCATGGTATATGAAGATATTTTTGGTCTCTTAACGAAAACAGTGCGTTTTCTTTTTCTAGTCCTTCGCCAGTAACCTTGAATTAATTCTTTATTTTTATGCTTTGCAGTACATTTTTATACCTGAAATTCCTGGTAGTGTGGGCGCTTGTCCTCCTGGCAGATTTTGTCCTGGAGTTCAGATTTGAATACCTGTGGCCGTTTTGGCTTTTCATCAGGAGCGTCTATGATTCCTTCAGATACCAGGGACTGGTATGTTTATTAATACATTTTTCAAGTATAAGGGGTTTAATTTTCTAAGAAAATCTTCAGTAGCTGATGATTAAAAATAAAAAACAAACTGCGATCAAATCATTATACACCCCCTCCCCATCTCTACCATTCCAGTGAAAAGAGGGGAGGGCCAAAGACCTTGGGAGGGAAACAGAGTAGTGAAGGAAGCAATAATTACCCAGTCCTACTCTGAAGTATTTCTGGAGCCTTATCACTGTGTCAGTGATTGGGTTAGAGTTAGAGCAGTGGTTCTCAAACTTTGTGGTCTCAGAGCCCTGTTAAAGTCTTAAAAACTACTGAGGATTTCAAGGAGCTTTTATTTATCTGGGTTTGATCTCTCCATATTAAATGTATTAGAAATCAAAACGGAAAACAAATTTAAATGTTTGTTAATTCACTTAAAAATAATAAGCCTATTGCATGTTAATGAAAATTACATTTTTATGAAAAATAACTGTTTTTCAAAACAAAAAAATTAGCAGATTTGACCACATTTTTGCAAATGTCTTTAATGTCTGGCTTAATGGAAGGCAGCTGCATTTTCGTATCTGCCTCTGATCTCGGTGGATTGCAAAATCACATATCATGTAGCTTCTCAAAAAAGCCACCTTAGTCCTGAGTGAATGAACATGAAAAAGGCATATAACATCTTAATATTGTTATGAAAATGGTGTTGACCTGGAAGACTCACTGAAAGGATCTCAGAGACTCCCCTGCTGCCCCTGGGAATCCCCAGACTATGTTTTGATACTGGGTTAGAGCAAGAGCACAGGCCTAGGCTTGTTCCCCTGGTTGACCTGCAGTTCTCTTATGTTCCATGGCTACACCTTAAACCGGAACTCTTCTACTCAGAAATCCAGAGCCTCAAAAAGATAGCTTCGGGCTCTTGGCTTCTTGGGGAATACCCAGTGGTGTGTCCAGAGAAAGGCTGCATTATTAAAATCCTTAACATCAGCCTAATTCTTACTATCATGATTCACTTGTGCTCCAACAGCCTGTTCTTTAAGAATGAGGCTCTCTAGGAATGTTTTAGGAGGAGAGAGGAGGCTTTTCTGTGTTAAAGTTCTAGTTGTTCTAGGTAACCCACCTGGGGAGTCCAAATGAACTCACTGCGACCCAACATCAGCCTGTCCTGGTCCAGTTCTTCATGACTGAGGACATAAATAGGATTACTTTTTAATATTGAATTAACCTCTGTTTTTTACATGGTGGCTTTTAAATGTTTAAACTTGCTCTATAGTTCTTGCATGGCAGTTTCAGAGATTTTGTCCAACGTGCTTTTAATAATCTGTTTGAAATAACAAGTTCTAAGATGTGTTTTTAATTTTGTTTTGTTTTTTTCCTTTAGGCCTTCTCAGTATTTTTTGTTTGTGTAGCATTCACGTCAAATATAATATGTCTGCTGTTCATCCCCATACAATGGCTTTTTTTTGCTGCTAGCACATATGTATGGGTTCAGTACGTATGGCACACAGGTAAGTCTTAATGGCTTCTCAGACGGCTAGAAATCTTAGATTCAAACTTTTTTAATGTAGTGATTTCATTGAATACATTATTTAGAGTTGAGTTTAATGTGGACTTTTTTTTTTTAAGATTTATTTATTTATTTTTGTATGTGTGTGCACGAGAGAGAGAGAGAGAGAGAGAGAGAGAAAACGCACGTGCGCAGTTGACCGGGGAAGGGACTAAGGGAGAAGCAGGCTCCCCGCTGAGCAGGGAGCCCAATGTAGGACTTGATCCCAGGACCCTGGGATCATGACCTGAGCTGAAGGCAGATGCTTAACTGACTGAGCCACCCAGGTGACGATGTGGACATTTTTAAGTGGCCTTTTCCTAATAGATGATGCCTCTAAAATATATTTTATATTTTTTTCATTACTGAATGAAAAGTTTAAGCCTCTATGATTTGACATCTCCATTGTAGACATTTTGATAACCAATTCTCATTATGAAAATACTCTTTTTTTTTTTTTTTTTTTTAAAGTTGAAGTGATTTCTATTTAGGTAGACTCCGAGACAGCCATGTTCCACATAGAAAAAAATGTTCCTGGAGTTTCAGCTTTGAAAGGAATGTTTGAGGTCATTTAGTTGAACCCTTATTTGGTATAAGAATCCCCACAGCATCCCTGACACATAGTGGTTTAGTCTCTGATTAAAAGGCTGCAGTGACAGGGAACTCAGTTTTCGGGGCCACTGTAAGAGAAAGTTCTTCCTCATACTGAGCCAAAATTTTCCTCCTTAACACTTTTGACTCAATACCTCTTGACTGTTTTGGGGGGGCTTGTTTATCTCATAGAGAATGTAAGGAGGCTTTCCCCCACAAGTATAGGGAAATATACAGAACTTTTCCTTCAGATTCAAGGGGTCTCCAGATCATCCCCTCAAGCTCCAACACTGCATCCCTATATTAGAGCCACACCAAAGGAGTGTGGAAACCATGGTTAACATTTCTGTAGAGATTTAAAGCACTGTCCTCTCAGGCCCTCTTGTCTGTAGGCACAACATCTCTGGTTTCATCAGCTTTGACTTGTATGTTATTTGAAAGACTTTCAGCATCCTGATCTCTCTAGTTCTTAATGGTTCTCTTCACCAAATGCACTGTTTCTGGTATGTTCTGACTGGAGTAGAGCCACACAGTCCTCTCCATTCTTCCTAAAGCTGCACTTCTACTGTCTCAAACCAAAATGAGATGAGATGTTTTCATAGCTCCAGTCCACTGTGAAAGCCTGAGTGGGACGCATGGGGATATGCGGACTGGCTCTCAGAGTGTTATGCTTCTTTGCAAAGCTGCATGAAACTTGATGCTTAGGCCCGGATGCAGCCTGTAGGATTAACCACTGAGGGAGTACCAGCTCATAAAAGCTCTCTGGAGCAGCATTCCTTCTCTTCTCAAAGGTGCTGAGAGGCTGATGTTGGCCCATGTAGAAGGCACAGGTCAGCTCTGTTATTTGAAGTACCCACTGTGAGCATGGGTTTCTCCCTCTTAGCATGCTCTCATATCTGACTTGATTTATAAGCTAACAGAACAGTTTCTAAGTCTGCTTTCCTCTAATTAAAGTGATTTTTTTCATACTTTAGTTTTTCCTTGTATTTTCTTGTCCTGGGTCTTAGTTTCAAGTGAGTTGCCATCTACACTTGTCATTCTGTTTAGGTCTCAGTTGTTTTCTTCTTCTTCTTCTTCTTCTTCTTCTTCTTCTTCTTCTTCTTCTTCTTCTTTTTAAGATTTATTTATTTATTGGGAGTGGGGGCAAGAGGGAGAGAAAGAATCTCTAGGAGACTCGACCCTGAGATTATGACCTGAGCCCAAATCAAGAGTCACCACCTAACCTTCTAAGCCACGCAGTCACCCCATCAATTTCTTCTTTGTCATAAGAAGGTGGAATAATCTAGATAATGTCTAGGGGAACCTTCCAGCTCAACAATCCATGACTCTGATGAACTATAATGATTTCCTAAATTACTTTAATAATGTCTTAGTAGTTTGGAAAAAACAACTCCTATAACTATTAACAGAACCTATTGGGAACGAGTGCAGTGGGTGACCCACAGGGCAGCAGTGAAGCTAATATCATGAGTGATACTGGCCTCTCTTTAGCCCTAGGCTCAGAAATGTTGGAATAGCTAAGTTGTGAAGTATGTTTTAATTTGGAATGATTAGTGCTCAAATAAATGATTAGCGCTCAAATAAACAAAACAAAGCAAATTTTGTGTTCTTATTGGGCCAGACAAATATAAGTACATTTTATATAATTTGGTATTAATTTCTCTTACCACTTGTTAAAATTTAAAATTCATAAGTTAATTAGGAATTGCTGATGAAATTATTTATTACAACAAAAGAATGATTATATCATAAACTTCCTTGCTATGAAGAGGGAAAAAAACAGAATATGAAACCGGATGTACAACAACTTGCTCAAAAATATTTTCTACATGATTTGATTATTTGATAAATGTAGAAATAGGTATTTTGTCTAAAAATCTTTTTCTGTAATGTGCTTATTATGTATATGATAACTTTAGAAATTAATATAGGGAGTTAGAGAATATAAATTTTTGAAAATGCATTTTGAAATGAATTTGAAAATGTCTTATCCTAGGGGTTGCTGTTTGTCTTTGTACACTGTGAAAATGCCCCCTTTTTTTTTTATGTTAAATCTGTAAAAATGGTTGAGGCCATTTGCTGCCTTCGCAGAGCTTTTACCATTTTCTATGCTGCAGGGATTAGGCCTAAGGGGACTTAAGTTCTCCTTAGGAGCAGACCCAGTATTATCTCTGTGAACTTGGACCCAATTTGCATAAACTCTGGGCCTTACTTTACTCTTCACTATGATAAGGAGGTTGGACCAAAGTTCTCTTTGTAGTTCCAGGATACTATGGTTTTTCTTTGGTTTCATCCCAAAGATCCTTAGTAAAAAGCCATTTAGTTCTTCAGATTACTGATTTCCCTCCCCTAACTCCCTGTTCTCTCTTCTATAACTCGCTTGCCTTAAATAGTCTCAGAGGATCTCTTTCCACAGTTACTGGACCTCATGCTTATGTAGTCCATCTTCATTTAAAAAAAAAAAATCCCATTATTAATCATGTCCTGACACAGATAGACCTAGCCTACAGATTTTGATTCTAAAAATTAATGGAAATTACCTCATTATTTTTATCTTATTTATTCTATATTGCAAGTTGCTTTTTCCTCCCTTGAAAATTGTTTTTATTTTCTTTTTTTAAGATTTTATTTATTTGTCAGAGAGAAAGAGACAGAGAACATGCACAAGCAGGGGGAGTGGCAGGCAGAGAGAGAAGCAGGCTTCTTGATGAGCCCGGAGCCTGATGGAGGGCTGGATCCTAGGACCCTGAGATCATGACGTGAGCCGAAAGCAGACACTTAATCAACTAAGCCACCTAGGCACTCACAAAAATTGTTTTTAATTATAAAAGAAATGTAAGCTTACAGTTAAGAATAAAAAATTTCTAGAACGGGGTGCCTGGGTAGCTCAGATGGTTAAGCATCTGCCTTTGGCTCTGGTCTTGATCTCCAGGTCCTGGCATTGAGCCCCTGTCTGTCCATCTGTCTGGCTCCCAGCTCAGTGGGGAGGCTGCTTCTCCTTCTCCCTCTGCCTCTCCCTCTGCTTGTGCGCTCTCTCTATCTCTCTCTTTCTCTCACTCACTCAAATGAATAAATAAAATCTTTAAAAAAAAAATTGTAGAACAGAAATTAAATGTCAGAAACATTTCTTTGTGCAATAACTTATTCTCCAGAATTTATTTTTTTTACATATCGTGTTAGTACAGATCATTCTTTGAAAAGCTGCATCATATTTCAGTATACAGACTTATCATAAACAGTTCTCTGTTGATACACATTTAAAATGATTCTACATTTTTTGCTATTAGAAATAATAATATAGTGAGTATTCTTATACATTTATTCCAGGGCTTTTTTTTTTTTTTTTTTCCTGTAGAGTAGATTCCCAGAATTGGAATTTCTGGGTCAAATGTATAAGATTTTAAAAATTTAATTATACTGACAAACTGTCTTCTTAAAAATGTTGCCCCACTTTATATTTTTGCCAAGTATGAGAATGAGCCCTTTGCCTTACCCTCCCTATATTACCTGTCTTTTAAATTTTTGCTTTATCTGATAGGCTAAAAAAATGGAATCTCTTTTTTGAAACATTTGTATCTCCCTAATCAGTAGTGAAGTTGGACATCTTTTCATACGTTTTAGCCATCTATATTTTTCTTTTATAATTTGCAAATTCTTTTTTTCAGTTGCTTTTTTATTGATTTGTAGGAGTTCTTTGTATGGTTGGGCTATGACTCCTTTCTTTTACATACTATAAATATTTTTTGCCAGATGTTTGTCTTTTATTTTTGTGTGTGATTCCATCGCTTCTTTTTTTTTTTAATTTTTTTTAAAGATTTTATTTATTTATTTGATAGAGATCACAAGTAGGCAGAGAGGCAGGCAGAGAGAGAGGAGGAAGCAGGCTCCCTGCTGAGCAGAGAGCCCTATGCGGGGCTCAATCCCTGGACCCTGGGATCATGACCTGAGCAGAAGGCAGAGGCTTAACCCACTGAGCCACCCAGGCGCTCCTCCATCACTTCTTTTGTCAGATAGAAGTTTTCAGTTTGGATCATGTTCCTTTTTTTTTTTTTTAGATGTGTTTATTTATTTTTGGAGAACGAGCTAGAGTGTGGGGAGCAGGGTAGAGGGAGAGGGAGAGACAATCTCAATCAGACTCTGTGCTGAGCGCAGAGCCCGACATGGGGTTTGATCTCTCGCCCTGAGATCATGACCTGAGCCAAACTCAGCATCGGACACTTAACTGACTGAGCCACCCAGGTGCCCCTGGATCATACTGTTTTTTAATTAGTTTGAAAGTCTTAATGAAAGTTACTGTAGTTGAGAGAACAAAGTGATGGTTGCCAGAGGGAAGGAGCATAGGGGGAGGGGCCACATGGGTGAAGGGGAGTGGGAGGTACAGGATTCCAGTGATGGAATGAATGTCGCAGGAATAGAAGGCACAGCATAGGGAATATAGACAATGATATTGTAATAGGCGTGTGTGATGACAGATGGTAAGTACACTTGTGGTGAGCACAACATAACATATAGAGAAGTTGAATCACTGTTGTACACATGTAACTGATGTAACGTCGTGTGTCAGCTCTACTCAAAAAATAAGAAAGCTACCGTAGTTGAACTTGTCTCCGAAACAACCCATCTGTTATGTTAGTTTAACGTATCACTGATGCTTGTCTCTCTACTGCTTTCCCACAGAAAGGGGAGTGTGTTTGCCCACAGTGTCCCTCTGGATACTCTTTGTTTATATTGAAGCAGCAATTAGATTTAAAGATCTCAAAAATTTTCATGTAGACCTTTGTCGTCCATTTGCTGCTCACTGGTGAGTACTATGTGTGTTCTTAATCTGTAAGTCAGTTCAGTGCGTTCAGTGTAGAATGGTAAGTTCAATTATAAGTTTTTTCTTAGAGCTTTTACAAGAACCCAGAAGACAACGTAACATAGGGGTAAAGAGCTGTGAGCCCTCTTTTCAGGCAGATGAGTGTTTGAACCCCAGCTCCTTCCCCTCATAGCATTGTTGCCTCGGACCTGTCACCTTCTCTAAGCCTTAGCTCTCTCACCCACGTATTAGGAACCTGTCTTGTGGGGTCATGGGAAAGAGGAAATGAGGGGATACATGTAAAATATGTAACTTAATTTCAAGCACAAAGGTGTCTGATAATGTTATCTATTTTTATTATAATCAGATAGCGATTCTAAAATGCCTCGATGAAATGTATGGCTATTTCATGATGCTTAAATGAACTGACTTAATTTTTGCTAATATTTATGGCAGAAACCAAAATAAACAGAATCAACTAAAAAGATACAGTTTCTATTTTTTTAAAGTCTTTTCACAGGCAAGTGAATTCAATAACTTGGTCAATAAAACTTGCCACTTTAAATTTGTAGTGGGATCACATTTGGGCTAATTATAATTTATAAGTTTGAATTTTACTGAAGCTTACTATGAGTTTTGACAGGGTTGCAGAGGCTTTGAAATGGTATTAGGCAGACTGATGAGTTGAATGAAAATATTTCAACTTTTTATCCCAGAGGTTAGAGTTATAAGTACAGCTGGTTTAACTTGAGAGTATAAAACAAATGTTGGCACTGATAATATCAATACTTATTTAAACAACTCTTGAATTTATGTATGACAGGATTTATGAACTGATTTTTCAGGAACAGCTCGTTGACAGTACTCCTCAGGCAGCAAGAATAAAGTAGTCACCTGAATTTGACCCTGGCTGTGGTATTAAAAATGAACACGTGTCCCTTTTGATTTTCTAACACTTACAGTGTTCACTTATGCCCAATCATAAAATCTCTGCCCTGTTCTTAAAAGCGTACAGATCCCAAGTTCTAATAGTGCACAAGGGAGTTTGCTGTTCATCAAAGGCATTAGCCACTATATCCAGCAGTCACTGGGTTAAGTTCTTGAGCTGGTTTGAAGAATGCCAGAGTCTGGTGAGCAGCCTCTAATGGTCTCGCAGTCCTTCTGCTCCCGGCGGGTGTGTTCTGTGTGCCGGCTGCCTCTCATTTCCACAGCAGACATCCCATATATGTCTGTTTACTAAGTGCTCTAATACCTTCGTCATCTAGAATTTATTTCTTTATTTCAGTCCTAGGTGTCCTCATGTGCTTGATGCATGTGTTGTTTGTTTTTTACTGGCGATAACTGGCTAGATTTTCTTCTTTCTAGTATTGGGTACCCTGTGGTGACTTTGGGCTTTGGCTTCAAAAGTTATGTAAGCTACAAAATGCGATTAAGGAAGCAGAAGGAAGTGCAAAAAGAGAACGAATTTTACATGCAGCTTCTTCAACAAGCTCTCCCCCCAGAGCAACAGATGCTACAGAAGCAGGAAAAAGAGGCCGAGGAAGGTAGGTCTTTACTCTAAAATTGTGTTGGCTCAGTGGATGAGTCATTATTTTGTCTATCAGTAGAATTTTTTTTCCCCTGGCAAAGTTGGTAGGACTTTGGAAAATGACCAAGGATTTTCCTGTTTTCTAGTGTTCCCTTTCAGGGCCATTGCTTTGTTTGATCATGAAGTAACAGGGTGTGGGGGTTAACTACCTAGTGCCCAAAGACCATGTGCTTTTACTATGCTTATTTTATTTTATTTTTATAGCTTACTTTATATTTTAATATTTTATCTGTTATAAATATTTAAAAATATTTATTCGCGGTAGCAATGTATATGTATAACTCTGTGAGCTTGTAATTGAGGCAGGCCAAGAACCAAAGTAGAAGCAAGATCGAGAGGTAGAAACAATTGTTTTATAAGTTAAAATTCTTCTGAATGGAGCAGAGGTGGGTAGGTCCCATTCTAAGTGGTTCATATGATGCAAGGTGGATCTTAAAGAGAGCTTTTTCTAACAGGATCTCTCTAATGGGCATAGATCCAATTCAGCAGATGGATTGACAGCAGGATTAGTTTTCTTTGATTTGAGGGTTGGAAGTTTAGAGTCATGTTTTATTCTTTTTCTTATTCTCTTATTCTCTGTATGGTGCAAAATGTCTCTTCAGGTAGACTTGGACAAACTGGAGTGTGTAGACCTCATACAGAAAATTCTTGTCGAGTGGTCTAATAAATGACACAGACTTCTTATTACCTTGTTGCTCGATCAAGAAAAGGATAATGCCCTATATCCTAACATCACACCTCTTCTTTTATGTAATTGCTGTCTTTTCAGTAAAGTTATTAACAGTTTGGTTAGTATCTCTTAAAATAAGGCCTCTTAAGAGTGACTGGCCTGTGTCCTCTTCATTCCAGTGATAGGCAAGTTGGATCTGACTGATAAGTATGATTTAATTATAAAATCCTCATCTTCTTTTCAAGGCCAGAACTGTAACAGCTTGGTGTTTATAAACGATGGCGATTTTCTGAATGTGCAGCTTCTCAAATTTATCTGGATTTGCTTCTTGAAGTTAGCGAGATGTGGTGTGGTTATTGCTTCTCAATGAGTTTGCAAATTGATATAGTGAGTTTCTAACCATAGATAATGCAGTTTCTCCGTGCTGTGGTTTTATACAACTAAATATTCCGGTGTGGGTTTTTTGTTTGTTGGTTTGTTTTTGGTATTGTAGCAGCCAAAGGATTGCCTGATATGGATTCCTCGATCCTTATACACCACAACGGAGGTATCCCAGCCAACAAAAAACTCTCCACAACTTTGCCAGAGATAGAATACCGAGAAAAAGGGAAAGAAAAGGACAAGGATGCCAAAAAACACAACCTTGGAATAAATAACAACAATATTCTACAACCTGTAGACTCAAAAATACAAGAAATTGAGTATATGGAAAACCATATCAACAGTAAAAGATTGAATAATGATCTTGTGGGAAGTACAGAAAATCTCTTGAAAGAGGACTCATGCACTGCTTCCTCAAAAAATTACAAAAATGCCAGCGGAGTTGTGAACTCATCACCTCGCAGTCATAGCGCCACAAACGGGAGCATTCCTTCCTCATCTAGTAAAAACGAGAAGAAGCAAAAATGCTCGAGCAAGAGCCCAAGTACACACAAGGACTTAATGGAAAACTGTATTCCTAATAACCAGCTAAGCAAACCAGATGCACTGGTAAGGTAAGTGTGTGCTGTGTCTTTACTGCCACTTTCCAGTAAAGCTGACTTAGGTCTTGAAAATAGATACTTCCATATGGGCCTGTAGGCCTTGTTTGTGATCAGATACTGTGACTGTTAACTCTGTGGGATTTGACTTTTTAGTGTTCATTTCATGTTCGTTTCACATGGCTTTGTTGGTCCCCTAGTGCCACTGTCCTGAGGCATTGACTCCAGCTCTTTCCAGTGTTGGAAGTAAGAGGTGACAGTGATTTCTTTGCATGTTGGACAAATTTACATGTAACTTGATTCCTCCTGTGGTGTTGAGAGACATACCTGTAGTCCTGGTCCTTTTCTGTTTGCATATCCAAAGTTCCTGTGGCACAGACACACAGCGAAGAGTCCATGTCCTGTGCATGCACGGCTCTTTGTCAGAAAGGTGTAGAAGGTGTGGTGGGGGGGTGTCGAGAAAGTTGTCCTTACCACCTTGTGCTTGTTTTTTGTTAACTCCACTTAAACTGTGAATTATCCCCCAGGTAACTGTGGGAAAATTAGGTTTGAAAAGTAATTTCTAAAAATCCAGTAGGTAAATACAACATTAGACTTAAATTTTAATCAGATGTGTTCCTTTCCCTCTTTAAGTAAAAGAATAACATTGTTGTATTACCTTGACTGGCCCAGCCTTAATTTTTCTCTGTTTTTTGTGTTTTCTAAAATACACATGTGTTCCTTTTACTTCATATCTTTCAATCTGGAGACTGGGATCTGAACTGGAGCTTTTTTTATGCGTAATTCAAGAGGACAATTATAACTCCCTCCCTCTGCTAAGTTATCTTCTATCCCTTTTCCTTTGGCTTAATTAAGAGTAGACAATTTATCCTAGGAGGCAAGGTTTCCAGCATTATAAATTATATGAACTAGATTATTAATTTGTCTTAATTTTCTGACTGGCAGCTAGATTAAGGGAAATATATTTGGGTTCTACTGCTAAAGGCTCTGGAGGTTTCTGGGCCCCCGGCCACTTGCAGAAGCGTCCCATGCGGTTGACGCTGCCAGGCCGACATCCACATGTGTTCGTTAAGACATTCTGCGCATGATGCCCTGCAGAGAAAACACTCAGCAGAGGACCCTCTCCAGGCATCCATGGGAGAAAGACCAATTAGTTGACCGTCTATTTCAAAGGAAATATCCCACAAATTTACTATATACTATAAACAAAACATGTGCCCCAAGCTTTTTAACATCCTTTCTCCTACACAGTTTTAATAATAGCAGTTAAGGCAAAACAGTTTTCCTCTGTTGGGTTTTGCAGAGAGGGCAGACGAGGCTCAGTCTTGTGACAGCATCTCACGTGGGCCACAGTTGCAACGTTGGTTGACTCTACCTGATCTGCCTTTAGTAAAGAAGTTCAAGGACTCAGATGGCCAGTTTTCCCATGCACGGGTCAAGTGCCCCCATGCTCATTCTGGGTTGTAGGCTTCTTCTTGTGGTCACTAACGTGCACTCTGATGTACCTTGATCTGGAGGACCCCAGAAATTACTCTGTTTTAGGGAATACCTGCTGTCAAATACATAAATAGAAAATATTATATTTAAATAGTTTTATGGCTTGCATAGGATTATATTCAATTTCTAATGTATTCCAAAAAATAAAGAGATGATATAAATATCTGGCAACAGGGGAAATTTTTAAATAAAATATGGTCCATCCATTTGATGGACTTTTAATATAGACATTACCAAATCACATTTTTGAGCCATATTGAACAATACAGGGAAGGGCTCATGACGTAATAATGAAGAAAGTAGAAAGCAGTTTTATCAAAAACCTCTTTTTTTTCCTCTCATAGACACAGAAAAGTAACTTGGAGGGAATGGAACTAAAATGATAACAATAGTTATTGCCTCATGATAGTATTGGGGCTTTAATTTTTCTTTTTACTTTCATGCATTTTCCAGTTTTTCTAAGATGAACGACAGTGCATGTTTATAAAAAGAAGAGTATGTGAGCAAATTATTCAGCGTGGTTGTAGGAGGCATTATCAGTTCCTCTTGCCCTTCTTGGCTATCTCCCATTTCCTCCTGTTTGACTTCATGCGTGCTTTGATGGATATTAGTAAGACTATAACTGATCCAAACCTGACATATTGAGTTGTTAGCTAGAGAAAGGGGTTGTTATTTTAAGATGGAGAGGGGCTGGATGCAGCGCCCCGGAAGGCTCCTGATGCAAACATACAGTGTGTACGTGAGCCCTTTGCTACCGCAGACATGCCCAGGATTGTGTGCTGGCCAGGCTGGCTGTTGGGAGAAGACTGATCTCCTGCTTCCTGTTTTATAAATGTTTTTTTAAAAAATCATTTGAAAAACCAGTCCTGTATTATTAATAGTAAATTAATTTCAAAACATTCTGTAGGTAGCATTCTACGGGTAATGTGACTGGGAACTGCTACATTCAAGGTACCCATTCTGTGACTTTTGGTGGAAAAATTCATCAGTAACACTTTCAAAGAGAATTCTTTTAGATCAGTGTGGCTGTAAAAAGGTTTGACAGCCATTCCTTAGGAGGAGCAAGTAGACATTCAGGTCTTTTCTCCATCCCTCTGAGCCCCATCAATGCTCTCGAGGGTGTGTAGACCACAGGCTGGCAAGCTACTGCTCACAGGCCAAATCTGGCTCACTGCCTGTTTTTGTAAAAAATAGTTTTACTGGAATACAACCACGCTCATTCATTTATGTAGCGTCTGTGGCTGCCTTTTTTTTTTTTTTTTTTAAGATTTATTTATTTATTTGAAAAAGAGAAAACACATGCGTGCGGGGCAGGGTGGGGAAGTGCGGTGGGAGAGGGAGAGAGAGAATGTCAAGCCGACTCCCCACTGAGCTACGAGCCCAAAGTGGGGCTGGATCTCCTGATGCTGAGAGCATGACCTGAGCTGAAACCAAGAGGTGGAGGCTTACCCCCACCAGGCGCACCACATCTGTGGCTGCTTTTGTGTTATGGTGGCTGTTGAGTAGCGGCCACAGAGACGGTATGGGCTATAAAGGTGAAGATAGTCACTGTCTAGCCCTGCATGGAAAAAGGATGCTGATAGCCTGCTAAGGTTAGGGATGGTGGGGGAAGGTCGGACATTGGGAATAAGTGTTTCCTTTGGAATCCTACCCAGGAAGAGATTGGGAACCTGTGAAAGCCAGTCCAAAGTCCCCTTTTTGTTTGAAAAATATATCTTACAAAATGACCTGATTTCTGCCAGCTTGATTTTTGAGCTCTTTACCCAAGATGTTTACAAACAGATGTGTAATGTGGGTAGCCAAAATATTTTTAATTCTGACCTGAGAAAAATTCTAGATAAAAACAGAAAAAGCAATGAAGAAGTTCACTTATTTTACTAAGTGCTGGGAATAATGTAAATTAGAATGAGATTTGTTTACATTTTTCTCTTCAGTGGTCAATTTTAAAACATTTTAAATAGCAAAAAAAATTACAGAAAATTTAGGCAGAGAAAAGGGGGAATGGTCCCACCACATGACACGAATCACTGTATGTTCTTTTCATCAACTACACTTATATAGCTGCGGCCATAGCATTTGTATAGTTTTTGTATCCAACTTTTTTCACTGAAATTATATTTGAGGGGTGCCTGGATGGCACAGCTGGTTAAGCATCTGACTCTTGGTTTTGGATCAGGTCCGAATTTGCAGCGAGTAAGGCTCCGTGCTCATGGTGGCGTCTGCTTCAAATTCTTTTCTCCCTTCCCCAGACCCTCCCTGCTCCCACGCTCTCTCTCAAAGAAATAAAATCTTTTTTCTTTTTAAAGATTTTAATTTATTCATTTGTCAGAGAGAGAGAGAGAGTACAAGTAGCAGGGAGAGCAGCAGGCAGAGGGAGAAACAGGCTCCGTGCTGAGCAAGGAGCCCGATGCAGGACTCCATACCAGGACCCCAGGACCATGACCTGAGCCGAAGGCAGACGCTTAATCCACTGAGCCACCCAGGCATCCCAGAAATAAATAAAATCTTAAAAAAAAATTATATCAAGTTCATTTTGCCAACTTAGTATCACCCTCTTTTCCCTTGATGTGGAATATTCCATGGCAGGTCTGTGAGATCCTTCAGCAGTCACTTGAAGATGGGCTGGGTCAGGGTGTCACCTGAGCCACTTCCTGCAGTTTCAGGGCCCGCAAGCAAAAGAGATGACACTTTTGTGTGCACTTGGCATTAAGCTCCCTCTCAAATACAGCCCAAGACTGGAGGGATTCTTTTTTTTTTTTTTTTTTTAAGATTTTATTTATTTATTTGACAGACAGACATCACAAGTAGGCAGAGAGAGAGGGGGAAGCAGGCTTCCCACTGAATGGAAAGCCTGATACAGGGCTCGATCCCAGGACCCTGAGATCATGACCTGAGCCGAAGGCAGAGGATTAACCCACTGAGCCACCCAGGCGTCCCTTGGAGGGATTCTCCTCGCTGACTGTTACTTGTTTCACTTTCCTGGTCAAGGAAGAGAATTTAAAACTGACTACAAGATGTAAAGTGATCCATATTCTGTAGAAATGTTGAAACAAAAGTCTCATTTTGGTTCTTTTCTAGTCTCTCTTTTTTTTTTTTTTTTTTTTTGGTACCCAAGACAGAAGATTCATCTTTTTTTTATTTTTAGTGCTTGTTCTTAATAAGAGATCACCTCTGACTTTAATATAGTTGAATAGTATCTGGTATGAAGATTCACAAAGGAAAAGTGATCCACAGTTTGCCTAGCGGAGATGCATTTAACAAAACTGAGTGGAATTTAGAATGGTGATTATTTTTTTTGGAGCTAGAAGAGTTATCAGAGGCATCTAGACCAGCGTCCTTTCTTTGTATCAATGAAGTTAATGAGCCCTGGAAGTTTAAATGGCTAGTCCAGGTGACCAAGCTGTGGTCGGAGTGCTGGGACCAGACCGGAGTTTCTTCTTGACTTCTGCCTCCTTTGTTCTAACCATGCTGCTTTAAAGAGGTTTATCAACCTGCTTTATTTTTCTACTTTATATTTT